ACATCATAGTCTTGAATTAACAGAAGACGTGATAAACCAGGTTGCCATTACAGAGGAGAATTGGAAGCTGCGAACACGCTCATCATTGAACAATCGAATACCATGACTGATCAACAATCACTCATTGAGGAACTTATGACACAGTTGGACGAACAAGAAAGGGTTTGTCAAAATCTTCAAAAAGCCATCGATACGTTTAAATCCAAAAACACCCACACTGATACAGAGGATGTTAGAAAAGTTTAAACTGGTATCTAATGTTCAATATCTGATTGGAAAACTTTTCTTGCATTTATCAAACACTTTGATATTGGATGACGTCTTAGGTTGATGCATAAATTTGTATTCCGACATTCTTTTATATTGAAATTTAATTAGCTGCTTTTTCAATTAATTCAATTAATTAATGATAATGACATAATCATTACTGCTAATTTTATTTTTAGTTTCGCAATTACAATGATTTTATACTACACTCATTTAAATGTTAATGTTGATTTTCATTGAAGAAGGAAATATCAATATTTCTATGATAATTGATATTTCAAGTTCTTTTTTTTGTTTAAATATTAAATTTAAATAAATTTTTTAATATTTAATATTAAAGTTATAAAAACTTAATCATTTATATTATTTATTTTTTAAAAAATTTTATTATGTTTATACTTGTTAATATAATGATATTTTTTGTTATTTGCAGTAAATAAGAATATTTTATGTTTTTATATTATAAGTTTTTACATTTAAATAACAAAGAATATTATAAGTTTAAATTTATAAAGTTAAAAAAATAAAAAAAAATTTTTTTTAAGTAAACAAATATTAAATAAAAGTTAGAGGCCTCAAGATATGAATATGGAAAATAAACAAATTGTATCTGCTTAAAAAGACAAATAGATAAGTATTTCACAATCAATTTAAGTTATATTTTTTGAAAAAATAATAAAAAATAAATAAAAATAAAAATTTGTATTAATAAATAAAAATTCTTCTAAATAAATTTTAGTTTAATCATTTGCAATTAGAGATTCGTTCAATTTTTACCATTCTATTGCTATTCAAAAATATTTAAAAAGATTCTTGAAAAGTATTTTTTAAAACTTTATACTTAAAGATTTTAACTATAAAAAAATATTAATTTTTTGTTTGTAATTTCTCTTTCAAAATTATATTTTTCTGAAATTATAATTTTATTCAATTGATAAATAGTTTTAAGATCTTATTTTCATCTATTTTAAAATAATTGAAAATTGAAAGAATTTGTTACTGGATTAAAATAAATTTTTTTTTGATTTTAAAAATAAATAAAAAAAAAACATTAAACTATTTTTTATTAAAAAGAATAGTTTATTACCTTGCTTTTTTTATTAAAACCAATTATAATATTAAGTTAATTATTACATAAGATAGAATATATAAAATAATATATCTTGTTTATATTTTTTGTTATGTAATAATAAATTAATTAAAAAAAAAAAAACTCTTTTTATTATTCTTTTACTAATTCAAAAAACAAATGTTTTCAAAAAATTTTATATTTTTATAATAATAAAAGCTATATACTTTCTTTAACAATACTAATTTTTTTTCCTCTATTAACTTCACTTGTCATATATCAAGCCAACTTTGGAAAGCAAGTATATCAAATCCCAACCATAACTTGAAGGCAAACTTGTATATTGGCTATAGTACCTTCATATGTTTGGATACTCTTTAATCTCCTAGCTCCCTACTAGACACTGTTCAAGAATTTGTAGGTGTTTCAAAAAGTTTGCTATAAAACTTGAATAATTAAATAGATACTTAAACAGATATACCAAATTTTGAGCCTTGCATTAAGCTCTTTATATTTAAGAGAGAAATAGTATAATCTAGCAATTTATAATACTGTTGTAATAGCAACTTTCTTATAATAAAAATGAGAGACTATTAGTTGTCTTTGTTCCTTAAAAAAAAAACAATACTAATTTTTAATTTGTAAAGTAAATAGCAACTATTACTTATTTATCTTTTTCTTTTAAAATATTTATTTATTTATTTCTATAATAAAATACAAGAAACCTATCTAAGAGATCTATAGCAAGAACATTTTTTTAAAAAAAAACTAATAAAAAAAACATTTCAAAAACTTTCAAGAGATTTAAAAATCTAAAAAAATAAGAAAAAAAAAGTTTTTAATTTTTCTATTATCTTTTTAACTTTTTACTTCTTTTTTCTTAAGCATATTTTTTTTTTTTTTTTTATTTTTCTGAGAAATTTTAACTATTTTA